TCTCTCAATTCACTTCATCTTTATCTTCAGATTCTCTTGATTCATTTTATTGTGTTGTTTCTCTTGGATTCGACGATGGTTGCTTCCGCGGCTAACGGCGACGATGGATTGAAGAAGCTCGAGTACTTGTCCCTCGTTTCCAAGGTATGTTCTGAGCTCGAAACTCATTTAGGGTTCGGAGATAAAGTACTTGCTGAGTTCATAACCGAGATGGGGCGGAGATGTGAGACGGTGGACGAGTTCGATTCCAAATTGAAGGAGAACGGTGCTGAAATGCCCGATTACTTTGTTCGCTCGCTTCTGAGGATCATTCACCTTATTCTTCCTCCGCAGAAGGATGACAATGAGAAGGAGTTCAAGAAGGAGAAGGAATCAGATGGAAAAAAGGGCAAGTTTAGGGCCTTGGCGATCGGGGATGATAAGGAGAGAGCTAAGGAGCTCGTGAAGGAAATTGAGTTGGAGGCTCACCAGAAGCGTGGGGACAGAGACGTACAAGATGATCGATACAAGGGGAGGGCAGGGGACCGAGGAAGAGACAGAGACAGAGACAGGGATAGGGATAGGGATCGAGATGGTGACAGAAATAGAGATAGAGATAGAGATAGGTACAGGGATCGAGATAAGGATAGAGATAGGCGCAGGGATAGATATGAAAGGGATGAGAGACATGGTGGTAGGGATCGTGATGATGATGGTGGTGATGATTATCAGAGAAGTGGAAGGCCAAGGGATCGGAATAGGAGAAATGGGTATGAAGAAAATGAAGGTTACACAGGGGATACAAGAGATGGTAATGGCAATCGGAGAGATGATAGGGACAAGCATACACAAAATGGGCGACACCTCCCTGTCGATCACGAACCTGAATTGTACAAGGTCTACAAGGGTAGAGTTTCTAGAGTGATGGACACGGGTTGCTTTGTCCAGATAAATGATTTCAGAGGCAAGGAGGGTCTGGTTCACGTTTCTCAGATGGCTACTCGAAGGATTACCAATGCCAAGGATGTTGTAAAGCGAGATCAAGAGGTTTATGTCAAGGTTATTTCAGTTTCAGGGCAAAAGTTGAGCCTTTCTATGAGGGATGTGGACCAACATTCTGGAAAGGATTTGCTTCCGCTTAAGAAAAAGGATGCCGATGATGGTCCTAGAATGAATCCTTCAAATACGAAGGATGATGGCCCAGTGGTTAGGACTGGCCTTTCTGGAATTAAGATTGTGGAAGATGATGTTACTATTCCTTCACGCAGACCTTTGAAGAGAATGAGCTCACCTGAGAGATGGGAAGCCAAACAACTGATTGCTTCTGGTGTTTTAAGTGTAAACGACTATCCTTCATATGATGATGAGGGAGATGGGCTATTATATCAAGAAGAGGGTGCTGAAGAGGAGCTTGAGATTGAGTTGAATGAAGACGAGCCTGAATTTCTGCAAGGCCAGAGTAGATACTCAATTGACATGTCGCCAGTTAAAATATTCAAAAATCCGGAAGGGTCTCTGAGCCGGGCAGCTGCACTTCAATCTGCACTGATTAAGGAGCGTAGGGAAGTTCGTGAGCAGCAGCAAAGGACCATGCTTGATTCAATTCCAAAGGATCTTAATCGACCTTGGGAAGACCCTATGCCAGAGACAGGTGAGAGGCATCTTGCACAGGAGCTCAGGGGCGTTGGCTTGTCGGCCTATGATATGCCTGAGTGGAAGAAGGATGCTTATGGAAAAGATATTAGTTTCGGGCAGAAATCGAAGCTCTCTATCCAGGAACAGAGGCAAAGCTTACCCATTTACAAGCTGAAGAAAGAACTTATTCAGGCCGTTCATGATAATCAGGTACTTGTTGTCATTGGTGAGACTGGTTCAGGTAAGACAACCCAGGTAACTCAGTATCTTGCTGAAGCTGGATACACAACCTCCGGTAAAATTGGGTGCACTCAACCACGTAGGGTGGCTGCAATGTCTGTCGCGAAGAGGGTTGCTGAAGAGTTTGGATGTCGCTTAGGAGAGGAAGTTGGGTATGCAATTCGTTTTGAGGATTGTACTGGACCTGATACTGTGATCAAGTATATGACTGATGGTATGCTTCTTAGGGAGATTTTGATTGATGATAACTTGTCACAGTACTCGGTAGTTATGCTTGATGAAGCTCACGAGAGAACAATCTTCACTGATGTTCTTTTTGGATTGCTGAAGCAACTTGTGAAAAGGAGACCTGACCTTCGACTGATTGTCACATCTGCTACTTTAGATGCCGAAAAATTTTCAGGATATTTCTTTAATTGTAATATTTTTACAATTCCTGGGCGAACTTTCCCTGTGGAGATCCTCTATACTAAGCAGCCAGAAACTGATTATCTTGATGCTGCTTTAATCACAGTCTTGCAGATCCACTTGACAGAGCCTGAAGGTGACATACTTCTTTTCTTGACTGGCCAGGAGGAGATTGATTTTGCATGTCAGTCTCTATACGAGAGAATGAAAGGACTCGGTAAAAATGTTCCCGAGTTAATAATTCTACCAGTCTACAGTGCCTTGCCCAGTGAAATGCAGTCCAGGATTTTTGAACCAGCTCCTCCTGGTAAGAGGAAAGTTGTAGTGGCGACTAACATTGCTGAGGCTTCATTGACAATAGATGGAATCTTTTATGTTATTGATCCTGGGTTTGCTAAACAGAATGTATATAACCCAAAGCAAGGGCTTGATTCTCTTGTTATCACACCAATTTCACAAGCATCAGCCAAACAACGTGCGGGGCGTGCTGGGCGAACAGGACCTGGAAAATGTTACCGCCTCTATACTGAGAGTGCTTATCGCAACGAGATGTCTCCTACAACAATACCAGAAATCCAGAGAATCAATCTTGGTCATACTACTCTTACTATGAAAGCCATGGGGATAAATGATCTCCTGTCATTTGATTTTATGGATCCACCTTCACCCCAAGCACTAATTTCAGCAATGGAACAACTTTACAGTCTAGGAGCACTGGACGAAGAAGGACTTCTGACTAAGTTGGGTAGAAAAATGGCCGAATTTCCTTTAGATCCACCTTTGTCTAAGATGCTGCTAGCTAGTGTGGATCTTGGATGCAGTGATGAGATTTTGACCATAATTGCAATGATTCAGACTGGAAATATCTTTTACAGGCCAAGGGAAAAACAAGCCCAGGCTGATCAGAAAAGGGCCAAGTTTTTCCAGCCAGAGGGAGATCATCTGACTTTGCTTGCAGTTTATGAGGCGTGGAAAGCCAAAAACTTTTCAGGCCCTTGGTGTTTTGAAAACTTTGTTCAATCTCGATCCTTGAGGAGAGCACAGGATGTGAGGAAACAACTTCTTTCAATTATGGACAAGTATGATCTTCTAGTCTCCTCTTGATATTGTTTTTGTTAAATTTTTGTCTTCAGCTACGATTATCTATTGTTGTCTTGTCTTGCATGCACGCATTTGCTTTATAGTTTACATGTACAGCGTAGAGATGGTTGCTCTAGGGTGGATAAGGTGCTTTTGAGCTCTTCCTTGTGGCACACTGGTTTCTCTACTGTTTTTAAGGATATTTGGCTTAGGTGGAATAAGGATTATGGGCCAAGTCTTATTTATTGGATAGGAGTCATTTTCATTTGTGTAGGTTTGGACCCCCTTTAGTTGGGCTTGTACATTCTTTAGGGGAAAAAAACAGTTGGTTGACATGTAGGAATGGAATCTAGTACAAATATATTTTGTCTGAACAGAATCAGGCTGAACTTGCAGACTTCTTATCCTGGGTGAGGAAACTTAGGCATCTTCTTGTTAAAGAATTTGGAAAGCGTGGCTGAATGAACTTTGGTGAGATGCACAATTATGTTTGTATGTAGAAAGTTGAGTTCAAATGTTTGTATGTCATTGGGCTTGTTCATTGGGCTTGTGTGAGATCTCACGAAGAAGGAAACCGTCTTTGTAAGGGTGTAGAAACCCTCCTAGTAGACACATTTTAAAAACCTTGAGAAGCTCGGAAGGCAAAGCTCAAAGAGAACAATATCTGCTAGCGTAGACTTAGGCGGTCACAGTTTGTGAAAGCAACTTCTAAGATTCTTCGCTGCATTTTGTATATAGAAACGCTGGTAGAGAGAAATTCTGTTTATCGGATTCTGGGGAGTTTTAGCTGGTGTTATCTACTATTCTTTTATCAGTTTTTGCTTTATCCATCGTCATTCAACTATTGTCTCTTGGATGTTAGCATCTTAAATGTTCCTATCAGACTCCTTGCTTTCTAGCTCACACACGTTTGCCCAATTTCAGGTACAAACTGGATGTGGTGAGTGCAGGCAAGAATTTCACACAGATAAGGAAGGCAATTACAGCAGGGTTCTTTTTCCACGCAGCCAGAAAGGATCCTCAAGAGGGTTATCGAACGCTAGTCGAGAACCAACCGGTTTATATCCATCCAAGCAGCGCTTTATTCCAAAGACAACCCGACTGGGTCATATACCACGAGCTAGTCATGACAACAAAAGAGTACATGCGTGAAGTGACAGTCATAGATCCCAAATGGCTTGTTGAACTAGCTCCAAGATACTTCAAAGTTGCAGACCCAACAAAGATGAGTAAGCGAAAGCGACAAGAGCGGATTGAACCACTCTACGACAGGTATCACGAACCCAACTCTTGGCGATTGAGTAAGAGACGAGCTTAATCCATGTCGTTTCTTTCTGTCCCATATTTGGCTGACTGTGTAGGTTTATAGGCTTTTGCCATAAATGTATATATCCCTGTTGCAGTATAATCTCTGGAGGGTTAGACCTTTGCAATTTATATATGTGAAAAGTTTTGTCTTCCCATGAATGTTGTTGGGAGGGGAAACCCCAAGAAAATCTTTGATCAGAGCCATTTTTATTTTCTCGGTTTAGATTTAGACTATTAATGGTTTTTTTTTTCTTTTTCTATGTTGTTTAGAATAGTTTCCATTAACCTTGGATTCATAATATTTAATTACATGTAATCTATGATTTAAAAACCTTTATAATTGCATAAAATTGTTGAAAGGAGCAAAATATCATTTGTTTATAATGTAAATCTATATGAAGTGGAGTATTGATACAATAAACTCTAATCTTATTTACTTCTGATATAAGACTTCCAACTTCACCATGCCTTTTCATACCTTTTCACATACCAAGTTTAATACACTGTATATGTGTTGGAAACCAAAGTATAGCTTTGCATACTCCGCTACTTCATCGCTCATCATTAAACCATGGCGGTCGAAATGTACTTCACTCTTGCAGCCCGATAACGCCTGCAAGAAACACCGAATAATGGATGTTTATGCCAACTATAAAGTTGCTCGAGAACAGATTTGTCCCACAAAAAGTCCCAATCAATACGCTATGTGCATATTAAAATATGGGTTATACTTTTTCAACCGTGCAACGTCGTGATATCGTCCTCAATGATTTATTTGGGGACTGGTTAGGTTGGTTGTGACATACAGCAACCACTTCAAAACCAACCAGTAATGAGAAATTTTGTAACTTACCACAAGCAATTCTCTCACCCGCATTGCCAGTGGTCAGGCTAAGTTCGGTTTGACCTGCAGACAAGATCAGAACAGTTCACAGATTATGCTTCAGATTTCTTTATTTGGTCATCCTGGTGGAGGTCACCTACTTGACGTGCAAAGACAAAGGGGAGGCTTATAATTAATCGAAGGGAACATACATTTCAAAGATCGATACTTCCAGCACATTAAATAATCTCATGGTTTAAGATTCAAGTAAAGTTAGTTATATAAATGTGAAGAAAATGGATGTCTACACGTACAAAGTGAAAAAAGCAAAGAACCCCGAAAGGATATCACTGAATTCGAAGAAGATCATATTAATAAGTTACAATCTGTGGGATTCTTTCTGGAAATATAGCTATGAATATTTATAAAATAATATTACCCCTGCCAAGATCATCGGGATCGGCGTGGACAACAATAGATCTTCCAAGAACGGAATTTGTTCCAACAAGGGAAATCTGCATAACATAGAAACAAATGATGCTCACTAGCTGAGACTTTTAGTAGAGATGGTGAAACATCCAAATAAACATTAAATTGTCCAAACCTGTTTGTCAATAATAGAGAAAGTAGCAGTACCTGTATAATAGACAGTAATCATCTTTACAATCATGTCAAATTAATCCTAAACAAGGAAAAGAAAGAGTGCTTTAACATGAAATTCATGATTTTTTCTAATATTGTTATCAATAGGAGATGGGGAGGAAGCTGGAATCATGAGGTGTAACAACCCAAGCCCATCGCTAATCGATATTGTCGTCTTTGGGCTCTCCCTTTTGGGATTTCCCTCAAGGATTTTAAAACGCGTCTACTAGGGAGAGAAGTTTCCACGCCCTTATAAAGAATGTTTTGTTCTCCTCCCCAACCGACGTGGAATCTCACATTGGTCATGCATTTTAGAGGGGCTAATCATTTGGGTCCAGTTTACTAAAAAAAAATTTCAGGGAGAATGAAATGCAATATGGAACAGTATTAAACACACCGTCATCACCAGCAACCAAATTTCCTAGATCACCAACATGACGATTCTCATCATCAGGTGCACCATGATCTTTGCCTTCAGGGTTGAAATGAGGCCCTGCGAGCAATTTGCTTGCAAGTAGAGTCATAATGTGCCAATAGTTCCAATGGACACTCTGTAATTAACATTGAGGAACTAAAAGGGTGTTACTCATGAGAACGTACCAGTCGATGAGCAACCATTGGTAGTGTCCCCAAGGGCATGAACATGGAAACCATGAAGCCCTGGCGTAAGGCCAGAAATATTTCCTCTAACTGTAGTTGGACCTGAAAAATATACTAACTATGAAAAAAAAAATAAAACAAAAAATCTGTATGAATTAAAATTTCAAACTACGATTTGAGCTACCATTGCCATTTTGGTTAAAGAAGACGGTTCCCTTCACTCCCTGATTGCTCTCGAGAACAGCAACAGCTTTCACCATTGTTTTGCGTTAAGTGAACTCAAACCCAATGAAGGTTATCAGAAGAGCTGAAATAACTGGTAAAATTGGATGCTGATCAACAAAGTAAACCAAGGAAATTTCACTTTTGAACATATTCTTCATGGTGATAGTCAACGAACAATGAGAATTCACTAAAGCAAAAATCTGAAAGACACAAAAAGTCATCCCAGTGACCAAATTTTGGGGACAAGATCAATGCTAATCTTCAACATCTTAAATCAGTTCAAGTTGTAGTCAGTTATGACATTGTTACACCAGGTTGGTGAAGAGCTCATCAGTTTGGTTTCGTTCTCCTCCCCAACTGAGGTGGGATCTCACAATCCACCCCACCACCCCTTCAGGGCCAGCGTCCTCAATGACACTCGTTCTCTTCTCAAATCGATGTGGGACCCCTCAATCTACTCCCTTCGAGGCCCAATGTCCGTACTGGCACACCATTTCGTGTCCACCCCCTTCATGGCTCAGCCTCTTCATTGGCATCACTCGATGTCTGGGCTCTGATACCATTTATAACAGCCCAAGAAGGAAGGTGCTAAATATTGACTTCGGGAGCTCGCGACGTGTAAAAGAAGAAGAAAGATGAATTCTCCTGTCCCTTCTTTCTTTCTCTCTTTTACGAGGTAAATAGAATAGGCTAGCTCGAGATCTCAATTGCCTATCCTGTGTTCGAGAAGGTCTCGCAGTTCCTGCGCAGCACCTCGAGGTTATGTTTCTTGTCTTACATGAGACTCGAGATATTCCTCACTCCATGGCATGGCACCTTTCGCTCATCCATTCCGCCCGTGCAGATGCCCTTTTTCGTTCATTATCATACTGAGGCTCTCTTCTCTCCCCCCTTTGTTTGAGGTATCGACTTAGCCCGAGGTCAACAAAAGTGAAAAAGCAGGGTAGCCCACCGCTAGCAAATATTGTTCTCTTTAGGCTTTCCCTTTCGAGCTTATCCTCAAGGTTTTTAAAAAAAACGTCTACTAGGAGAGGTTTCCACACCTTTATAAAGAATGTTTGGTTCTCCTCCCCAACCGATGTGGGATCCCATCGGTTCTTTATCTATATGTAGCTTTTAATTTTTTTTAATTCAATTTCAAAACTCATTCGTTTTGGCAAACAATTCTAGAACTGCTGACCATCCTCGTTTATGTAGTCTAAAAAATTTCTTACTTCCAACATTCATAAGCTCATTTCCAAGTATAGTGAGTTTTGTACCAGAAATCATCATGAACTCTCTTTCTAATTAACAGTAAACAACAACTATCAGGCGCCTGTTTTCATTCCAGAAATCAACATGAATTTTCTTTCTATTCAAAATAGGTAACTTAGAAATTGAAATGATATCAAACACAGCCATCAGAACCATATAAATCTCAGCGAAGAGTTATAACACGTAACAACCATATGAAACTGGAAAGTAATGAAGCATAAACAACGCAATCCCTAAATCTTCAATACGCAATTATAAAAAAAGAAAATACAGTCCAAAACAGAATTCAAACAAAAATCGGATACAACAATTTAGCTTCACCACAGAATTCGATAATCCGGCAAAAAAAAGAGAGAAAAGAACACTGAAATTACAGAAGAAATGGGAGAGAATCATTACCAAGGATGAGCTTCACTGCAGTGGAAAGAGAAATTAAAGAGCATTGAAGTGGCGCGAGATTTGTATGCACGGAGGCTGGAGGAATCGGTAGCGAACATACAAAAAAACGAAGGATGAAATCGTCGTTGCGAATCCACAAGACACCACGTGTGGACTGCCGTTTTAAATTCCCCTGACTCGGCAAATCCAGATTCCAATTTATTTATTTATTATTTTTTTCCACTAAATTAATAAAAATATTCATTATTTATATATAATCAGAGTATTTTCAATATTCTATCAACCCTACACGATTTATCTTTAAACTTCTTACTCTTATTTTTAAAAATCACTTAACCGGTAGTACTTGACTTACTAGCGGTCACAGTTTGACCGTGCAGCGTCGTGATCTTGACACACTCATGACAAATCTAAAGAGAGACTCAAGCTCCATTCACATTTATCGCTTCACTTTGTAACTTCATTTGACCTTTGATGAGATTTTCTTTCACCAACCGAACACAACTTGTATAGAATCCACAAACTTGTTCGACAATACGTGCTATTCATGCGTGCATGCTCAATCGTCTGCAATGCCACAACGTCGCATCTCATTGTCATTTCGGTTCTAAACAACACGATCCATACATCCTCATGTCTCAGGATACATTGACCATCTTAACTTGTTCGAACACATTCGTTGAGAACGGGCTCATGTGTAGATCTTATCGAAATGAATCGGAAGGAAAACTATTATATGATGCATTCTTACAAGATAAAAAAGCAAGAGAGTATGATATAATTATATGAAAGAAACTTAATAGCATATATAGAGAATAAAAAACACCAATGGCGACACGCTCAACAATATGATTATGATGAAAGAAAAAGGTTCAGAAACTTGCAGGGATGTGAAATAGACCTACTTCACTGATATTCAACCAAATTCGAATGCAATCCTATACAGATGAAAATCATTCCAAAATCGAAGTAGAATATCACAAATTTCAAAGACTTATTCGAACAACTGAACAAAGAAAGAAGAACTCGCGCAAGTTTCCAAACCTTTGTCACAATCAAAAGTCTGTTGCAATCAGCTCACGACTCTTCATGTTCAGTCACATTGAAGCTCCATAATGCGGAAAACCAAAATTCCTTTTTCGACGTACCGCGATTCTTGGTTGTGAAGGATTAGTTCGTTAATGTTTCTCAATTTTCATTTCGTTCCCAAGCCTATTTTATTTTCAATCCCCTCCCCCTCAATAATTAACTCATATACTTAATAATATAATATAATATTATGTATCAATAGTAGTTTCTAATACTTCAAATTGCATTTATGATAATATGAATGTATATACTATTGATACATATTTAAAATTGAAATTGAAAGGATACTAATATTATACTTTTTACGGTTACTCTTCATCCACAATGGTATGATATTGTACACTATAATAAGTTCTCATAACTTTGCTTCGTGTTTCCCAACAGGCCTCATGGAAATGTATTCTTTACTTATAAGTCATGGTCATTCCCTAAAATAACCAGGACTCCCTCCCAACCATTCTCAGCAATAAAATCAAGTCTCAGCAATAAAATCAAGTATTATTGCTTAAAAGTATTAAAAAGAAGTGAAAGTAAAGATACGTTAAAGAGAGAAGATTAAAAACTAATTAGGGAACATATCTTAAAGAGAGAAGATTAGGAAACAAAAAGTGGTATCATTATTTTACGACCTAATACTACGTTGAGTAGCAGTGTGACAGTAGTGCGGTAAAAGTAACAGAAGGGCAAACAAAAAAACAAGGTAAGATGCTGAAAGGGAGTGGGATTTTTAAGCACTCCCCTTTTTGAGGATCAGATCCTCGATCATATCTGCAGCCTCTTGGACGGTCGTGATGCTCTGTGCGCTCTCCTCTTCCACGCTTATCCCAAATTCTTCCTCCAGCCCCATTACGATCTCAACCTGATCACCCCACACACACATACAAAATCTTTATAATAATATGAGCCCATTGTCTCATAGTCAAAGCGCATACAATGTTTTAGAAGTATATATATATATATGTTAAGAATCACGATTCTCTACAATAATATGATATTGTCCACTTTGAGCATAAGCTCTCGTGGCTTTGCTGGGAAATGTCTCATACCAGTGGAGGTAGTATTCCTCACTTATAAACCCATGATTTTCCATTAAATTAACAACGCGAGACTCACTCCCAATAATCCTCAACAATATATATATACAGTAGACATATGTAGAGTAGAAGTTTACCGTGTCGAGAGAATCGGCTCCAAGAGTTGAAAATTTGGACTCGCCATTGACAATGGAGTCATCTGCCAATGCCAATTGCTTCTTCACTATTCTGCTAACCTTTTCAACTGTCTCTGGTTTCGCCTGTCCATACCCCAATTAATACCGTTAAAGCTACAGTAATTGGCGCTGTCCAGGGGACCAAATTTTGGGTAAAACCAAGTTCTTGCAGCCCGGACACGTGGCCTAACCTTATGATGATACGTGTACGTGATTGATTTTTTCACTAATTTTACAGGTTTTTCCTTTTTTAAATAAGGAAAGAAATGCTATGTTTATATTTTAAATTTGAACATTTTTTTTTCTTGTTTTCTTCACAAAATCTTTGAAAATTTAAATTTCAAACATATTTCTTTCTCACAGGGTTATTTTAAAACCGATTAGTTGAAAATAAATGGTACTTTGAAGATGAAAAAATGAAATAAATAAAAATGAAAAATGAGATTTATATTGTCAGATTTTATTTAAAAACTTGCTATTTTGGTAATATAACGTATTTCTCAAATTATTATTGTTAACCCTTAATTTTAATTGATTAGTTGAAATTAAGTGGTGCTGTGTGGATAAAAAAGTAATAAATAAATAAAAATGATAAAATAAAAATTAAATTGATTGAAATATATTTCTCAATTTTCAATTGATTAATTGAAATGAATGGTGTATATATATTTTTTTTTTAAAAAAAAATTAAAAGTAAAAAGAATATTCTTTAAAAGAAAAGGTGGGTGAAGCCCAATAGCACCAAAGTTTTACTCAAAGAGCAGTAAAAAGGACTTACAGCACATGAAATTTGAAGCGACCGTAATCTTCTAGAAGAGAAGTTATTTCTCCCTTGGTAAGAAAAGGAAACCCTCTTCGAACCAGAAAGCTTGGATACTGCCTGCTTACCAAGAAACAATTTCACCATAAGAATCAGAAGAGGACGTTTAATATTAGCTCAAGTTCTTAGCAGAGAACGAGAATTCAAAGAGAACAAGAGATCAATCATAATCGACACACACATACAGTGATGCAAAAAAAATTTCAGGACATAAGAACTTCATCTCGGTTCATAACTACAACGACAAACAATTATATACTAGGTTTTCAAGATCGCTCGTAATTTATGGTTTGCATTCGCGCTTAGAATTTTTCAAGGCAAAAATTACGAGAGAAAATTAAGGTCTGTTGCGATTTTTTTTTTTTTTTCAACTGAACAGGCTATTTCCACAGAACATTTTTGAAAGATAGGAGCTGATAGTTCGAAAACTATTCTCTTCAGCCCTCTGTCCCCAAATAGCGTGAAAATTAGGCAAGAAATTCAAATCAGCAGTGAAATTACACAAATAAAAGTAAAACAACACCATAAAGAGATATAAAACATTCTGAAATCAAAGATAATGCCAAGTCCATCATCCATACGTTTCACAACCATGCAATACAAACACAATACCGATTCAAACAAATGCTCCAAACATCGTGATTAACGACATTAAAACAGAAATGGACGCCAAAATCCAGATCAAAAGGTAGGAATTAAGAAGATCAGTTTCGAAACAATTGATTACACAAAAACAACGAGACATGGCAAATACGAAAACGTACAACAGATCCATAAATGCACGCATGAGGAAGAGAAAAGGATTGAAAACTTACAGCGATTTGGCGCGATTGAGGAGCTGCAGATCGCACGCAAAACGATGAAGCTGTGATCGAAGCCATTGATGAACTGATAGAGAAAAAGGGAGAGAGAATTTGGACTGGCGAAAACTAGAAATGGGACGGAGAAGTCGAAGCGAGTAAGTCGTGGCCGATGCTAGAGCTTAAATAGGCGGTTCGTTTGTGTATCTTATTTATTTATTTATTTATAGAATAAAATAATGCATTATTAAGTTAATAAAAATACACTTCCAACTGTAATTTGTTGAAAAAATATTATTACAATTTTCAAAATTTAAATAATATCTTTAAAAAAAATTAAAAAAGAATTTCAAAATATCTTTAAATTTAAATTTAATTTAAAAAAATAATAAAAATACTCTGAATATACTTTTATAAGCAAAATAACAGGGACAAAATTGGGAATCGGAGAATCCAAAGGAGCTCTTTCATGGGCCTTGTTTATGGGCCTCAATGGTTTTGGGCTGGTTTAGAAATGGCCCATGGGTTTGTATAATGCCCAATAAATAATAAATTACAATAAATAAATAAATACTTTACTCGAAACCGAACTAAAAATTGTAATTTAATTACAAAGATAATTAAATAAGTATAAGTTAATTAGAATATTAATAATTAATAATAATAAATTACATTAAATAGTTAAAAATAATGTAAATTATTAATTATAAACGCTATTAACTGAAACTTATTAGTCTCAATAATATAGGGATATTTAATAATATTTAAAATAATGATTAATAATTATTTAATTAGGTAATATTTTTACTATTCATTTAGTTATGAAGGTTCTAAAGTCTCCTCCATATCAAGAGTTTTAAAAATGCAATCTCGATAAACAAATATATTAATTACAGGGTCATGCTCTGTATATGATATGCAGTGTCGTTATATCGAGATGTTAGGTTTGGGGATCGTTATTAGGGGATCATTATTGATCCTCTAATAGGTACTACAGTAGTTTGTCGGTACACGGGTAATTTTCTCACAATATGATTATTATAATATGTAACAATCCAAACCCACCGCTAGCAGATATTGTCTACTTCATCTCATTAAATATCACCGTCAGCCTCACAATTTTAAAACACGTGAAACTGACAACGATACGATTATTATACTATGTAACAACCCAAACCCACTGCTAGCAGATATTATCTGCTTTATCTGATTAAATATCACGGTCAAGCTCACGATTTTAAAACACGTGAGACTGACAA